CATTCTGCGGCCCCTCTGTCCAACGTAGTCATGTCCTGCGCACGGGCTGCGGAGTGTCACTGGCGACGTCGGCTCCTGTACCTGCGAGCTTCTATGGTCGACCAAAGAACAAACGGCACCACCCCACCTAAGGACCTTCATGTTGCGCTACGGTCCATCGGGGGTTGCAGCGCATACCACGCAAGAGCCCAAGCTGGAATCCATGGTACATTCTAAGGCCCGTGGGGGCGTAGGTGGTGTGGTGCCGTTTTCTTGTCCATATGGGGACACCCAAGGACTCGGCCTTCCGCCAGCGCAGGGGGAGACCCAGGCAGCACTGGGCGAAGTCCGTAAACTGGGCAATTCTTTGCGTTACGACGGTTTGCAATGACATCCGATTAAGATGATGCTTGTGGTGTTCGATTTATTATGTGGTCATTGCATGTTATGTATGTGCATGCATGCATGCATTGTTGAACTTCTCAAATACGGGTGTTCGTTACAACCTGCGCGCGCGAAACGCGCGCGTGGTTTTGGTGTATACATATAAGTATGCATGTATGCATGTATCAGTATATCTACATGCGTATGTACTGGTATATGTATTGATTTATGACTTTGTGTATCTATATATATATGTATACGTGAATGCGTATGTGCGTTTGGTTATGTTTGCTCTTGTTTATGTTGACGTATATGCATATGCATACGTATAAGTATGTGCCTCTGCATTTTTTATAGGAATGTGCATACTCTCATCTCTATTCATAGGTATACGTATATGTGTGTGTATGTGCACATACACGTATATGCGCAGGTGCATGCTCTGTATGTATGCCTGTATAACTGTATGTATATACGTATACACATGTGTACGTTCATGTTTATGAATTTGTTTATCCGTATGTATATGTATACGTGTATGTATATGCACATGCAGTTGTATATGGGTGCATGCATGGGTCGGAACAGGTGTACGTGTATGTGTACGTCTATGTGTATGTATATGTGTATGTACGTGTATGCCTATGTGTATGTGTATGCGCATGTATATATATATATATATTTACATGTGTGTCCATGCACATATGCATGATATGTTCGTTTATGTTTATGCGCATGCGTATGCACACGTATATGTATATGTAGTTATATTTCCATATGTGTATGCTTATTTATATGTACATGCATGTTTATTTTTCTATGTACATGTAAATGTACATGGACAGCACCCCTAGCACCCATTCTACGTCTTCGTCCTTTCCACGAGTCTGGAGACGTGCCGCTCCCCTTCTGTATCCCTTCCCTCTCCGCGCCTCTTCTTCTTCTTCTTCTTCGCTGGCGCCTTCCCCGCATCCGCTAGCGGCACATATTGGAGAGTCGCCAACATGACAGATGCAAAAGTCTGCTTCCTCTACATAGAGGGGGAACATGCGTGTGAGCCATCCTGTAGACGAGAAATTCGCAAACCCTGCGATTTCATTGGGATTCCTGGGACTTCTGGGATGCAAATCAACGAAACCCTGTGATTTCATTTCGATTCCTGGGATTCCTGGGATTTCATACCCTGGAGCAAAGCCGACCTTGGGATCCCCAGGAAGTTCAAGGCTCAGAATCCCAGGAATCCCAATGAAATCACAGGGTTCGCGACGTCAGTGATGCGCAAACCCTGATTTCATCGGGATTCCTTGGGTTTCTGGGATGCTAATCAACGAACCTTGTGATTTCAATGGGATTCCTGGAATTCCTGGGATGTCATACCCCGGAGCCAAAACTAATTTTGGATCCCCAGGAGGTCGAGGGCTCAGAATCCCATGAATCCGATGGACATCGCAAGGTTCGAGACGTCGGTGACGCGCAAACCTTATGATTTCCTTTGGATTCCCAGGATTTCTGGGATGCAAATCAATGAAACCTTGTGATTTCATTGGGATTCCTTGGGTTCCTGGGATTGCATACCCCCAGGAGGCCCAGGGCCCAGAATACCAGGAACCCCAGTGAAATCATAGGACTCGCGGCGCCGGTGATGCGCCAACCCTTTGCTTTCCTTCGGGTTCTTGGGATTTCTGTGGTGCAAATCCAGAAGCCTCGTGGTTTCCATGGGATTCCTGGGGTTTCGAGCCCCGGAGCAAAGCCAGCCTCGGGATCCCCTAGGAGGTCCAGGGCTCGGAACCCCGGGAACCCCGAAGGGAATCACAGGGTTCGCGTCGTCGGTGATGCGGCAACCTTGTGATTTCATAGGGATTCTTGGGATTTCATAGGTATTCTTGATTTCATAAGCCTCTGGGGTGCAGCTCAGCGAAACCTGGCGATTTCATTTGGATTCGTGGTGTTCCCGACATTTTCGGCCTTGACTTTCTGCGACTCCAGGGCTCGTGTCTTGTTGTCGCTCCAGGGTACATCACAAGGTTCCACCGATTTGCCTCCCATAACTCCAAGGAGTCCAAGTGAAATCATAGGGTTTGCGCGTCTATGGCGTCGCGAACCCTGTGATTTCATTGGGATTCCTGATATTCTGAGCCCTGGACTTCGTGGGGATCCGAAGGTGTTTTCTTTGCTCCAGGGTATGAACCCCCAGGAATCCCAAGAATCCCGGTGAAATCACAGGGTTTGTTGATTTGCATCCCAGGAATACCAGGAATGCCTATGAAAGCATCGGGTTTGCGCATACCCGACGTCTCCAACTTTTGATTTCTTTGGGATTCATGGGATCCTGAGACCTGGACCTCTTGGGGGTCCCAAGGTTGGTTTTGCTCCAGGGCTTGACATTCAGGAACCCCAGTGAAATCGATGGGTTTCGTTGATTAACACCCCAGTAATTTTAGGAATTCAGGAAAATCGTAGGGTTTGCGCATCACCGACGTCGCGAACCTTGTGATTTCATTGGGTTCCTGGGAGTCTGAGCCTTGAACCTCCTGGGGATCCCAAGGTTGGTTTTGCTCCAGGGTATGAAATCCAATGAATCCCATGAGTCCCAGTGAAATCGCAGGGTTTCGTTGATTTGCATCCCAGGAGTTTCAGGAATTCCAGCGAATTCAAAGGGATGGTTGATTTCTGGTCTACAGGATGGCTCACACGCTTGTTCCCCCTTTAACAAGAGGAAGCAGACGCTTGCATCTGTCACGTTGGCGCTTGTGGAAAATGTGCCGCTAGCGGATGCGGGGGAATGCTTCAGCGAAGAAGAAGAAGAAGTGGCGCGGATAGGGAAGGGATGCAGGAGGGGAGCGGCACGACTTTAGCCTCGTGGGAAAGAAGAATGCGTATAATAGATGCTGGGGGGGGGGGGCTGCGCATGTATATGTATAGGTATATGTATTTGTGCACGTGTGTGTGTGTGTGTATGTGCACGTGCATGGGCATGTGCATACACATACTTATAAGTAATTGCGCGCGCATGTGTATCTGTATGTGTACACACATATACGTATTTTCAGGTCTGTCGATCTGTGTACGTATGCATGTACATATTTTTATATGTATGCATGCGTGCATGCATGCGTGTATGTTTGCACGCATGTATGTGTTTTTGCTGAAGCTGTACGTATATATACATTCACACATATATATATATATATATATATATATCTGTTTATATTACACATGCCTATATCCACATTTACACATATGTACACGTTTATATATGTGTATGCATACATGCATGCAATCATGTATGCATATATAGCTACGCCAGTATGTGTGTATGTATGTCGCCATGTATTTCCCTTTGAGTGTTCGTGTCTATATCCGCCGACGCGTGTCGTGACTGATTTGGAATTCCCAGGGAATCTCCATAGTGTCATGCGCATTTGGAAACAAAGAGAGTTGCGTACATTGGAAGGAGGATGAACAGGAAAATAATGAGGTGGAGGAGGATAACGAGGAGGAGGAGGAGGAGGAGGAACAGGAGGAGGGAGGAGGAAGAGGAGGAGGAGGAGGAGAAGGAGGAAGAGGAGGAGGGGGAGGAAGAGGAGGAAGCGGATGAACAGAAGCACGAACTGACGACAGCGAGTGAAACTTGGCTGGCCCCCTGTTGGCGGATCCCTGGTCCCCACGCCGCGTGATTTGGCCTGGCCGCGCATTCCCCAGCCCGGTTGCTTAAGCTGCGTTTCTGTGCGCGTGGCCGCAACGTCAAGAAAAGAGGAAGGGAGGGGAACATGAGGAGATTTCGCATCATGGAGGAGGAGGAGGAGGAGGAGGAGGAGGAGGAGGAGGAGGAGGAGGAGGGGAGGGGGAGGGGAGGGGAGGAGGAGGAGGAGGAGGATGAGGAGGAGGAAGAAAATGAGAACGAGGAAAAGGGGAGGAGGAGGAAAAGGAGGAGGAGGAGGAGGGGAGGAGGAGGAGGAGGGGAGGAGGAAAAGGAGGAGGAGGAAAAGGAGGAGGGAGAGGAGGAGGAGGAGGAGGAGGAGGAGGAGGAGGAGGAGGATGAGGAGGCGGAGGAGGAGGAGGAGGAGGAGGAGGAGGGAGGGGACAGTCGAGGAGGAGGATGAGGAGGAGGAAGAGGAGGAGAAACCTTATCAATAATCGGAGGAGGAGGATGGCGAGGAGGAGGAGGAAAAGGATGAGGAGCAGGAGGATGATGATGATGGGGAGGAGGAGGATGAGCAGGATGATGATGATGATGATGATGATGATGATGATGATGATGATGATGATGATGATGATGAAGATGCTGATGCTGATGCTGATGCTGATGCTGATGAAGATGATGATGATGATGATGATGATGATGATGATGATGAGGAGGAGGAGGAGGAGGAAGAGGCCGAACACGAGGAGGGGGAGGAGGAGGAGTAGGCGGAGCAGGAGGCACACTACTAATAATACTACTAATAATAATTCTATCAATAATACGAATGTATGTAATAACATCAGGGAGAGACAAGTAATAATAAGACGAAGAGGAGGAGGAACAGGAGGAGGAGGAAGAAGAGGAGGAGGAGGAGGAGTTGGAGGATGAGGAGGATGAGGAGGAGGATCATGAGGGGGAGGAGGAAGCATAATCGGAGGAAGAGCAGGAGGAGGAGGAGGAGTAGGAGGAGGAAGAGGAATCATACGAACAAAACAGTACTTTTAAGAAGAGGGATGAGCATCATACGAGTATGCAGAATTAATACTACTAGCAAAACGAATCAGAGTACGTAACATGGCGAGCATAATAATACTAATGTCCGCAACAACACCAATAGTAACGATACTATGCAGAACTGTCGTACTACTAGTACGAATACGTTTACCATACGTACTAATGATGATCGTGCCATTGAGAAGAAAATGGAAACGATGGTTCGAAGTAGTACTAAGAGTAATACCGGGCACACCAATAATAATATTTATATTCGTACGCAGTAACCGTAGCCAGGGTAAAGTAGTAATGCGGAAACATACGTTTACTCACAATACAACTAAGAATGCCAATGCCAACACGAGTTAAGATAATAGGGGGGGATACTGATAATGCTAACAACACAACTAATGATGAGGATGATGCTGATACTGATGGTTCCACTAGTATTCCTACTACTACTACTACCACTACTACCACTACTACTACTACTACTACCACTACTACTATCACTACTACTACTACTACCACTAGTACTGCTACTAGTACTAATGATACCCAGACGAATAGAATACGAAAACCATCAGTAGTAATAATAATAATGCTAATAGTGATACTGATAATACGAATATTCGTATTCAGCATGATAAGAAGACAATTGATACCAATACGCGTACTAATAACACACAATCATAATACCAATCATCATATACATAATCATCGGGGGAATCCGAGTATTACTCATACCGCGAATAACTACAATAGTAATACTATTGTTGCAAACATTATTCATACCAATAATCACAATACTATTACTACTCACTAATGATACGGCGTACTATGAATAATAGTAGTCATGATACGATTTGCTAGCAAGACAGTTCTTACTATTGATAATAATAACAATGATACGGGTATTACTTCTAGACGGTCATGACACAAGCCATAATGCTATCAATAGTAAGCTACTCGGAATAATAGTAGTAATACTAGTCATACTCTTAGTAATATTGATACGCGTATTATTTCCAATCGTGATACTCATAATAGAGTAGCAATATTCACAAACAGCCAGACTAAAATAATCATCAACAACAATCCATACTAGCAAGCACGCGTTCATCATTCTTAATAGCCATACTAAGAAGAGGAGGAAGAGGATGAACAGGAGGAGGAGGAAAAAGAGGATGAGGAGAAACAGGAAAAGGATGATGATGATGATGATGATGATGATGATGATGATGATGATGAGGAGGAGGAGGAGGAGGAGGAGGAGGAGGAGGAGGAGGAGGAGGAGGAGGAGGAGGAGCAGGAGTGTCGGGGGAGGACGGGGGGGAAGCTGGAGGAGAGGCCTCGCCCCCTCTTGCGACAGTGCCCCGCGGCCAGGGCCGCCGCTCTCGCGGCGGCGGCGGCCGCGGCTCGCCTGAGCGGGCGGCGCCGGCCGGGCGGCTGGAGCCCCCTGTGCCCGCCGCGCGGGTGGCGACCCTGCCGGAGGTGCCGGGGGGGGTGGGTGGGTCGTGGCTGGGGTCGTTTTTTGGGCTCGTCGGCCAGGGCTCCCTCCCCTCGGGGTGGGGGGGTGATCTACCCATGCTGCTGTCCTTCCCTCGTGTTCGCCTCTTTGGGCCTCCTGGGATGCCCTCGTCGCCACGGCTGGATTCGCCTGGAACGTCTGGTCGGAACGCACTTCGCGAGACGTCTGGGGCGCAATGGCCTCCGCATGTTTTGGTTTCCCCACTCGGGGGGGCGGGCAAGGCAGTAAAACCACGACCCGTCGCCGTGGGGAGCCCATCGGCGTGAGACATCCGAGGAGTCACCAGGCCCTCGGGCAAGAACGGAGGAGCAGCACGCTGATGTGCTCCCAGCGGCGGCATGTCATTTGACGCCCTTCCCCTCCGATTTTCTCCCTCCGTCTCACCCTTCCCCCTGCTGCTTCTCCTCACCCTTCCCCCCCGCGCTGCTGCTGCTGCTCCTCCCACCCCGTGCTCCCGGCTCCTCCTGTTGCTCTCTCGCTGCTGCCGCTCCTCCTATTCCTCCCTGTCGTCGTCTTCCTGTCTTTGCAGCGGACATTATCCGTACTGAAAGGGCCAGTTGTACATACCTGTGAGGGGGGAGTCAGCCAGGACGGTCTGTGTGCTGCAGCAGCACTGATGGATGCGCACTGGGTTTACTTCGGTCCTTGTCCTCCTGGTTCCTCTTCTCCTTCCCCCTTCTTTCCTTCTTTGCCCTCATCCTTTACTTTATTTTCCCTTCCCCCTTCCCCTCTGGATCCTCCCTCTTTTTCCCCAATCAGGCTTGCCTAAGGGGTTCTTAATTGGTTAAAGGTTGGTGCCTCGTTTTCTTACGTTGCCCGTTGCCCACAGGTTCCTCGGGTTCCTCGGGTTCCCCGCCCCCAGTGCCTCCTATTGATACGTTGCCCGTTTCCCGGAGGTTCCTCGCGTTCCTCGGGTTCCTGGGGTTCCTCGGGTTCCCCGGTCCTGTTCCTCGGATTCTCTGGTCTTATTCGTTGCTTGGGTTCTTCGGGTTCCTTGCTCCTTGCTCGGGTTCCTCGGGTTCCTCGGGTTCCCTGGTCTCGTTGCTCGGGTTCCCCGGGCTCCCCGGTCTGGTTCCTTGCTGGGGTTTCCGGGGATCCCGGGTTTTGTTCCTCGGGTTTCCCGGCATTGCAAAGCAGTGCGAGGACAAGCAACGCCAAACAATGCAAAGCAATGCCAATCTACGCAAAGCAATACCGCGCAATGCCAAGCAGGGCCAATCCATACCAAGCAAGTGCCAAACAATGCCAAGCCACGCCAAGAACTGCAAAGCAATGCGAAGCAATGCCAAGCAATGCTCCCATGCAATAGGAAGTTTTCCCCAATTGGTGTCGCGCCAGGTTCATCTTTCCTAGTGCGTCCACTCGGCCGCCTGGATCGGTGGAGCCGTCGCCCCGCCACCTCGCTTGATCTATGATCGCTCGATCAATGATGGCTCTTCGACGCTCTTGAGCCGTAGTCTCAGGATGTCGCGAGACTTTCCAATCGTGTAGCTCTGACCTGGGGCAGCCGGTGCCTGTCAATCGATCGTGGGCATTTAGTTCTGATATGTGCTAATTACCTAACAGCGAAGACTGATAGGTTTCTAATGGGGTCAAAAGAGAGCATCTGATGGCTCCCCAGGGGGGTCTGGGCGGGAGCCGGACAGGCGAGGGCCGGGCTCGTTTTAAGCAAACAGTCGCACATTTCGTGCTCTTCGACTTCCCAGAACTCCACTCCCGGGCCACATTTTGAATGCCCGAAGCCAACTGTAGGCCACTTCGTGCTCTTCGACTTCCCAGAACTCCATTCCCGGGCCACATTTTGGATGCCCGGAGCCAACTGTAGGCCACTTCGTGCTCTTCGATTTCCCAGAACTCCATTCCCGGGCCACATTTTGCATGCCCGGAGCCAACTGTAGGCCACTTCGTGCTCTTGGATTTCCCAGAACATCATTCCCGGGCCACTTTTTGAATGCCTGGAGCCAACTGTAGGCCACTGGGTGCTCTTCCACTTCCCAGAACTTCACTCCCGGGCTACATTTTGAATGCCCGGAGCTAACTGTAGGCCACTTCGTGCTCTTCCACTTCCCAGACTTCCAAGACTCATCATCTTCATCATCATCATCGTCCCCGTAGCTTTCTTGGCTACAGCCCTGCTTTCGAAGATTTCCTTTCAAAGGAACTGCGCAGCGCCTACTGCACACCTTAATGCCAGGACATGCTGATAGTTCTCGGTCTGGCGGCGGTGCTCCTGACCCTGCTGCATTGAACAGCGGTGCTCCTCAGCCTGCGGCAGGGAACAACGCTGCTCCTCAGCGTGCTGCATTGAGCGGTCCTCTGCAAACGCTCGTCGAGCACGTGGAGCAGTTCGGCCGGATACCGAAGCGAAATAAAGGAACGTCCGAACAAGAACGGGCCGACAACAAGTTGGCCGAACGTTTCTCGGACCATCGCGACCGCATCCCCGAAGACATTTTGCATGAACTGCGGGCCTTGGGCCGTGCTGATCAGCAGACGGAGACCGAGGAGCTCAAGCGGAAGCAGAAGACCGAGGAGCTCATGCAGCAAAAGCGAGACAAGACCGAGGAGCTCGTGTCTCGTTTGGAATCACATCCGTTGATAGCAGTGTCTTGTTTAGACCTCAATGCATTTGTACAAAGATCTCATTTGGAGATACCGTTATCGAAAGCAGTGTTTCTACTGCTACTACCACTGCTCCCATCACTCCTACTCGTTCACTCCACACACTACAACTACTACTTCACTGTTACCGCTATTACCATCGCTACTACTTCTACTGCTACTACTACTGTTACTATTACTGCTGCTGCTGCTCCTGCTGCTGCTAGTGTAGCTATTGCTATTGCAACTACTGGCAGTGCCACTGCGACTGCCGCTGATGTTGCCACTGCGACTGCCACTGCGAATCCGAATGCGACTGCGAGAACGCCAGAATTCTGCAACAAGACTCTTACATGAATACCACAGGCAATGTTTCCAGCTTTGCTTCTACACGTCGCTGTTAGGTTGCGTTGCCGGGAAAATTTTTACGTGGCATTTCTCTGACGATCAGCTTCGCGCTAGCCGTCCCGGGCATCATTTCTGGGCATGCGGATGCACGTGGAACTCTGCCCCCCCTCGTTTCCTCCTCCTCCCTCTCGTCCTCCTCTCCCGCGCCCTGTGTGCGTCATCGTGGGGCAGTCCAGGCCAGGGGGTGCCACTTACTGGCGGCGCACTCGTGTTCTGACCTGGCCGCGGATGCTGCTCGAGCTTGTCTGCCGCAGGTCGCTTTCTGCTTCTCCGGTGCGCGCGGCGACGCTCCGAGTCGCACGGCGGCCGCCGGGTCGTGGAGCCGAGCGGGGCTGCTCTTGCGCTCCGCACCTCCTCCCCCCGCACTCAAAAGAGCTGCGGAGATGCTGCGGCTCGTGGCCGAGACGCCGCGCGGGAAG